TCTCATATGAACGAGATCTCATAACCCAACCATAATTACTGTATGTCCCAAGACCAACATGGTACAAAGTTTCCTCAACTTTTACAAAAAATGGATTAATGGTATATAATTGAATCTGCAGTTTTTCCTTTCACAGGAAAACTCAAAATTTTTCAAAATTTCAAATTTACATGCAAGTTACTTTCAAGCACCTTTATTATTATTTAAAGTAATCTATACTATAAAAATTGCCATTAAAAAATGTGAAAGTATAATAAAAAATAATAAATACTCATTATTTTTGAATAATCAGAAAATACAGATAGTCATAAACAAGAAAGTAAAGATTCCCTATTATTCAAAACAACCAGAAATGATAGTGATTAACATTTGGTGTTCTGATTTTACATTTTAATATAAACATATAGAAAAAAATGTACACATAACCATGCTATACATTCCATTACATAATCTTTTATTTTACTTAATATGTGAGGACATCTCTGTCTATCTTCTTGCATTATTACATAACTACCTGTTCCCCTACTGACAAATATTTAGGTTTGCCAATCTTTTTTTTTTAAATAATTTTTTTCTTTTTTATTGATTTCAGAGAGGAAAGCAGAGGGAGAGAGAGATGAAAACATTAATGATGAGAGAGAATCATTTATGGGCTGCCTCCTGCACACCCCACACTTGGGATCAAGCCTGCAACCCAGGAATATGACCTGACCAGAATTTGAACTGTTCATAGGTCAACGCTCAACCACTGACCTACATGGGCCAGGCAAATTTTCATTTTTTCGTTCACTAGTTTCACAAATATTCTACCTTACCATCAAAAAGTGACTGGGAATTCAACCGTGACCTCCTGGTTCATAGGTCGATGCTCAACCACTGAACCACACTGGCCAGGCTAGGTTTCCCAATCTTTTGTTTTGTTAAATGATACACCAAAGAAACTTCTTGTACAGGCATTTCTGTGCATTTATCCTGTTAATTCCTTAGGATAAGTTCTTAGAAATGAACAATTAAATGTCAGTATACACATTTTAAAATGCTGTATCAATTTGCCAAATTGCCCTCCAGAAAGTTTGAACTAATTTATATTCTCTTTAAAGTGTATGAAAGTATCTATTATCTCACACCCTCATCAACACTAGTTATTATCATGCTTTTCAAATTTTTCCAGTTTTATAGGTTAAAAGGTATTTTTATTTTAATTGGCATTTCACTTATTACTAGTGAGGTAAAATATTTTTCATGTTTATTTTTCAAGTTTATTTGTATTTCTCCTTTTTGATTTAACTTGCTTAACCATGCTTTAACTATACTTTCTAATGCTTTTTTTTAAATCTTTTCATTGATTTCTAAAAGTTATTCATAATTCAAAAACATATGTTGTGAATTCTTTTTTTTACAGTTTTTCATAACTTCAAGCATGTAGTTTAGATATTTTTCTTTTGTTTTAAGTAACCAATATATCAATAACTTTCTTGTTTTTTACTTTTGGATCATGCTTGGAAGGGTATTTCTTATTCTAAGATTAAATAAATTTTTATCTCTGTTAAAAAAATATGCAAGTAAACATATGTGCCTTGATTAATCAAACAGGTGCATTTTTGTGCAATGTCTTCAGAGTATACTTACTGCCATTCTTTGCTTCTCTCCACCACTGAGCACATCCATCCAATCCTGAACACTGTCCCAGCCTCCTTCGCGTTCAAGAATATGACCCAACTGGACATTATCTAAGTATTCCTTTAGTACCTTTCAGAAATTAAAGATGAAATCAAATGTAATAATATACCAACATTCTCTATCTTGCTTTATTTTTTAAACTAAAATCACTATAATTCCATTGCCAATATCATTTAAAGACGTACATTTCACATAAAAATGTGGCACAAGGGTAACCCTGAAATCTTTACTTCCTATCTACACTAATTTTGACAAAATATATCTAGCAGCTTAAGGAGGATACTACTGTACATAATTAAAGGACAAGAGCAATGAGAAAATAAATAATATTGTAAACAAGGTTAAACACTAGAGAGTCATATTTACGCAAAGTGATTAACATCTTACCTCAACTTGAAAAGTATAATTACTGTCAAAGCTTTAAAAGCTCTACAGGTTAGAATTAAACTGCCTGGCATTAAAAGTATGTAACTGAACATCCTGGAAATGAATGACAATGAAAACACAACAATCCAAAATCTATGGGACACAGTGAAAGAAGTCCTGAGAGGGAAGTTTATAGCTCTACAGGCCTACCTTAAAAAAACAAGAAAAAATGGTAATAAATCATCTCACTCTACAACTCAAAGAATTAGAAAGAGAGCAACAAGAAAAGCCCACAGTATCCAGGAGGAAGGAGACAATAAAGATCAGAGCAGAAATGAATGACACAGAGATGAAAAAACAATACAAAAGATCAATGAACCCACGAGCTGGTTCTTTGAAAGGATAAACAACATTAATGAACCTCTAGCCAGGCTCACCAAGAAGCAGAGAGGACCCAAATAAACAAAATCAGAAATGAAAAAGGTGAAATAACAACAGACCCGACAAAAATGCAAAGGAGTGTTAAAAAATACTATGGACAACTCTATTCTAACAAACTAGACAACCTGGAGGAAATGGACATATTCCTAGAAAAATACAACATTCCAAAACTCAATCAGGAAGATTCTAAAAGTCCCAATAGGCTGATAACTATGGAAGAAATTAAAGCAGTAATCAAAAAGCTTCCAGCAAACAAAAGCCCAGGACCAGACGGCTTCACAGGGGAGTTTTACCAAACATTCTAGGAAGAACTACAACCAAT